ATCGACGAAGTTTTTGACGGCGGTTGCAGAACCAAACTCGAACTACCTTAACAATAGAAACTCCTAGTTTTTGCAGGGATATAACCTCAATTAACAAATATAACAGATAAATAAACCAACGTCTCTTTCCAAATCCAAAGCATTTGCTATTCGCACCATTTCTTCGTGACCAGGACGCGGATTAGCCAGGAAGAAATTATCCAATGATTTCCGCTAAAAAAATATTTGTATGTATATGTTTACATAAATCCACAAGTAGCATCTCCTATGTCTACTGCAATATACAAGCCATAGCCATCTACTGACTAGTCCAATTACACTGAGTAACATGATATCCTTATTTATCGTAACTAATTCGTAAACAATAAGTCTGTCCCTACCTGGGACAAGTCGAGATTCGTCCGTTTTCTGCGCCTCTTCATTATAGGTTCAGTATTTGGCATATGGATTGGCATCTCTTCGACGCACTCCTCCACTTTTTCCTGAAAGTGGAACATTTTGAAATGGAAGCTCTGAATTGTGTCTATTGCACTAACCTTTGAAATCTCAATCGTTCTCAGTTCTTCCACGTTTACACCATTTGCAACAGCTGCTTCTTGACCTTCTAGCCATTCTTTGAGAAGTGGACGGAGTTTACACATGTTTTTAAAGGAGAGATTCATAGCCTACAATAAAATTTTATCGATTGATTAGCACATAAGCTTGTAGTCTCTGGCGTCTAAACTGCTAGTTTGTCGTATGCGTTTGTGCGGTTTTTAAAGTTCATATCCTAAATTAAAAGCTTTGGTAGGAAGTTATATACTGCTAGAAAAGGTACCATGCCCTACAAAAAGAGTGAGCCTTTAAATATAAGGTGACATGATTTTGGTGGATTGAAAAATCACCGAAGTAATATTTTGTAGAACGGAAAAAAATGCTGTACAATCGCTTGGGATCTTAGAATTTTGGTTTACCCAAAGGCTATACGTTCTGATCAATTGACATGCTAATTACGAATATCATATCCATTCCACGACTCTATTATTAGATTACGGTAGGTCGATGGAAAGGTCAGAATCACAAATGTTGCTGAAAATTGGTCTAATGGGGCTACTTGGCACCTCACCATATATCACGTATTTTTCACACGATAAATCCTGACAAAAGGGATACGGAAGGGAGACGAAGTGGCCAAGACCACTGCCGCCAGATTTTTGCACCAATTTGTAGTTTTATATTTGGAAAAAACCTATTTGACGACTCAACACAACCAACCTCAAACCGAGAGATGGTAGTTTGGGAAAAGTCCGTGCCATACTTTCGGCCTAACGCGAGCCCAACGTCACCTTGAGTGTAGCCTGTAGCAAACCATATACATATTTTCTAAAGGCGATGTTAAGGATCACTTAAGCTCCACAAACCCAATTTGATGCGTTGTTTTTTGAAATGCTGCGCAAAACTTTCCAAGTCGTCTATTTCTGGACGTGAGTTTTGTACATTTGAGGTAGAAGCCTAAAAGTTCACTAGTATTCCAAGCCGCCAGTTTCTAGAATTAATATGCTATCGAAATACCCACGGAAAAATCGTCGAACAGTTTTCGTTTAGTAGGGGGTCTAAAAGACATCCGCGGAAGTGTCCGGAACAATGGAGAGTTCAGAACAACATCCACATCCGCTGTACTCCACTGATTAACAGGTCGCGAAGTAAGCGATAGTGAGTTCAGAAGCGTTGGACTTTGACCCTTGCTTAGCTTCTTCAAAGGTTGTTCCATACATAAATCCAATATTTGTCCCTTACGCGCATTCCCATGATTTTCAGGCGTTAAATCGCAAGTGCTTTCTTGTTGAAGAATAACACCATTAGTGGATTCTGACGGGCTGATAACGGTGGGCTTTGGAGTATTTGAAACTGACATCGAGGCGCTTGTCAATGACGACGTGGCAGATGACGATGAGGGCTTCGCTCTGTTCAGTCCATTCTTTCCTTCATTAGAGGAATCAGCAAGGAGCTTGGAGATGAATGATGACAGCACAGAGTTGGCATCTGTAGAAGTTTTATAGGATGAGGTGGTAGTTCTCGTTGCAAGGACATTTACAGCATCCTGAAATATATTGAATCTTAGGATACTTGACCCTGTTACACAATAAAAAAATAGATTCAACAAACCGTTTTTGTAGCCTCTCCTGCTGCAGGAGAGTCACTTCGAATTTGGCTACTCAAGAAGGACGCAAGAACTGAAAAATTGTAATTCTCCTAAAGGTTTTTGAATCTATAAGACTATCTTACAAGTGAAAATGATAGTTTACCATTTGAGGATATTCACTCACCAGCTTGAGGATCACAAGAGCCATCTGTTGCACACGATGATGGAATTGAGGTTAATGCAGCTAATCGCGCTTGTTCGCTGAGAAGTTGAGTAGTGGCGAGGGTAAGCGCGGGATTTCCTAAAACTGAATTTTTCATTTTTCATACTAACCCTTGTCACCACTACCTTGAGCATACTCAAAATAAATACACCAAACACTTGTCTCTTTCTAGAGAATACTATGACTTAAATTATCCCGACCAAATTTTGCTTTTAGCCTGGCTTTCTGAGCAGGCTGTCTGTTGCGAGTCGCTGTTTTTATGAGAGTCATTTGACGTAGATAAACGCGAAGATACTTGGCTAACAAATTAAGAGGAAAACAAGAACTGTTTTCCAAAAATCCGCAAACTTGAATTTATATTGATTCAAAAGCAAAATGTCCAACTTTTTTCAGTAGTACACTTTAACTTCCTCAACCCTCATTTCCCGATTCAAATGTAAAGGATATGGGCAATGAGCTGAGTTGTTCGCACCTGAGGACAGCAATAACTGAAGTGCACCAGCTTGACTGCCACCAGTACTAGATCCGACCAGCA